GTGGCGTCCTGGTCACGGCGGGAAGCGCAGCTAAGAAAAGAGATACCAGACTTACGTGTCAGGGCTCGGTTCAGCCTCTGACAAGGCAGGGCTAGGAGGCAACTTGCACCTTTATGATCCGAATTGTGCTGCTGCCCAAGAGAGCAAGGTGGCTCCAATGCTCCGTTTTGGTGTGGGTGGCCCAGCCCCGGGTTGGGGACAAACAATACCAGCCCAAAGACAATGGAAGAGTTAAAGCTGATTTTCAGATCTGGGCTAGATTTTCAGCCAGATTTTAGAGCATGACCATTTATCCCCAGTGATAAGGAAGCCTGTCCCACCTTCCTAGCAACCAGAGTTAATCTTAGAAACCCTGCCGGGGGAGAAATGCCACGAGTCTTGGTGGAAGAGTTAACTTGGCCTCCTTCACGCTGGCGAATGCTTGCGCTGTACAGGCTGTCCAGGCCGCCTGGCAACTCTCCTGGGACAGCTGGAAGCATTTGACCGGTCAGAAATGGAGTCCGCATCCCTCGGACTCCCTGCTGATGAGACTGTTGCTCTGAGCAGGGACAACGGCGCTGCCTCGCAGCATTTACGTGGAAGATTTATTCCGAAAACCACCTTGCTCAGTTTGCCCAACCGAGAGCATGAAATAGTCCTCTGTTTTGACATTCAGAGAAGGAAGAGGTCAGAGAGCCGAGTGGAAATTTGAGGGCTTGGTCTGCAGCCAAATTGGAGCTCATAACAAGAGGCTGAGTTCAGGCTTAGTGCTGCTGAAATTCAGCATTTTCCCAGAGATTTGAGGTCAAGATGGTGGAACCGAAATCGCTGATATACCTCTTGAGAGTCAGAAAAGCTCTTCTGATCTGATTTTTGCAGGGGTTTCAGATGAGTCACTTGTTCGTGCAGGCTTCTGGCAGCACCCTAGCTCCTCCGAGTACTTCTGGGGCACCTTAGTCTTCTCTTGCCATTACTAACCTAAGTAATGTGTTATTTGAACCTGTGGCCGCTTCCCTGCTGCCTGTTATCACAGTCGTGATGAGTATAGCTCAAAGCCCTGGGACAAGACCTGCCTTTTTCCTTTCCGCTTCTTGGCTTGTTTCTTGCTCCCACCAGAAATTTGTTCCCTGGCAGGGGGAAAACGGGGCCGCGAGCTGCTGTGCCATGCTGCTTGTCACGAAGCAGTTTCTCACGTCAGGGCTTAGGACCAGCAACTCGTTGGTACTTAGGTAATACAGGAACATCACCTGTAAGTCTTGCTGTGCCTGTAGATGTTGAAATGCAGTTTTGTAGAAGATGACTAGTTCCCCTATATAGGTAGCCTCACCCCAACCTTTACTTTACAGAGATGAGGCTCTTGCTCCTATTTCATTTCATACCTTCCTTTTGCTAGTGGCTCCTTATCCGTATTTTACACATGAGATACGTTGTCAAATTAAAATGAAGATGTGAATTCATTGCTGGAAGTCTTTACAAAAAGACCTAAACTAAGAATTAAAACATTTCATTCTTGGGCAACTGACTTTTTTACCTCTTGCCCTTTCAGTCCTGTGAGTTTTATAAATTACCCGACATGATTATTTTCAGCCAGGGAAAACTGACGTTAAAACAAAATAAAGCAAATGGACCCTGGGACGTTGGGCCAAGCAGATCTTTTAGCAATTCAAGTGCTGAAGCTCACTCTAGCCTTTTCCTAACCTCTCTGCTATTTCTTCTGCTCCACTCATGAGTGAAGGTTTCGCAAAGTATGTAATGTCATTTAGTCTGATGCCTTTCACTACTATTGACCAGTTAACGATTCCTCAGAGGGGGAAAAAGCTTCCATGATGCACCTCAGGCAAATATTGGTGCAGGTGGAAAGTCCTCTGTTGACGTTTATGGACGATCAGCTAACCCAGAAGTTTTGATTTTCTTATAGTAAAAGAACACAAATAATATTGATTATCGAGTGAGGAAAATTTGTCCTGGAGTATCTTCCTTTTATTCTCCATTCTCAGTGCCACTTCAAAAAGCCTACGGGTTCTTCGGATAACTGAAGCGCTATGCTTTCCTTACAGGAATAGATTCCACAGCATGAGCTTTGAAGCAGAGATTCTGACGGCTCCTCACGATAATTCAGGTATTTGGGAGAAATTAAAAAAAGAGAGAGATTAAAATAAAGTGTCCACTCAGCTCGCTATCACTATAAATATGTCTTAATTCTGTTGGAATAAGAGTTACAGGTTGTGTTAAAAAAAAAAAAAGGATGAAACAGCATGCTACATTAATGGCAATCCAGGTGATTTCAGGTTTATTTTAGGGTATACCTTCAAAGTGTTGAGGATAGATTTTGAAATATTTACCTCCGTATCCATGGAAGTGGAGACTGTTTCAGGCTCCTGTGAGGACCCTGAAGGCTGGATGAAGGATCTCCATTCACATGTAGCAGAAAACACAGTTGTTTATGACTTGTGGTTTTGGAGAGACCTTAGGCATGCATCCGTTTAAGATTGCACAATCCTGTGTGAGGCATACTTTTTTTTTGGCGTCCTAATACAAAATTTTCTTATGAGCTACAGCAAGGTAAATGCAGATGTTAAATAAGCAGCTCCTAATAAAATAAAAAGGAGGATGAAGATGTTCTGCTGAGTCCTGTCCTTCATCCTCGTTTCATTTAGGAGTAAAAGCTGATTTCTTTTCCTTCTGGACAGTTCCTGTTCAATGTCAATCACACGTGTCCAGGCTGGCACTACTTCTACTTTCCTACTAAAAGCCTGCTTCTCGCAGCGTCTGCGTGACGTTGGATCAACTCTCGTGGGAGAGGAGCATCCTGGACCACACCAGGCTCTTTTGGCATCAAATTCCGTTTGCCCTGAAATGGCTCATATATTCATTTGCAGAAGGGCAGGGAGCCCACAGCTGAGCCAGGGCTGAACCTGGAGGCAGGGAGACTCAGCACAGCGCTTTGTCCCGAAGGAGCCTCCCCCTCCAGCTGAAATGTTCTGGCTCCCCCTTGGCCTTTCTGCAAACCAAGTGCCCTCAGCACGGCCACTTCAGGAAATTTGGGTGCCATTTTCCACGAGGGGACTTGTAGAAAGTAGTCAGCTATGTACCTTGACAAATACGCTGATGTCAAAGTGCATTTAAGAACAATTTTCCAACTGTGTGGTGTGAAGAGGCTGTGGGGTATTCGCAGGACACATGAGGCTCCGGGGACACACGTCTTCCTGAGGTGGGTTTCTTACATGCAATAAGTGCTTGAACTCTGCATTTGCCTTGGAGCTGCCAATGCACAATTTGTATTTATTTCTCAAGAGCTATACGTGGTCCCTTCCATGAGAAGTCTAACGGCCGAGGAGTATGTGGAGGCCTTCAAGTCGTTTTTGGATCATTCTACGGAGCACCAGTGCATGGAGGAGTTCAATAAGCAAGAAATGCCCCACATCATGGCTGGGTAAGGAGCACCTCCGCAAAAGTGGAAAAGCCAGCGTGATGCTGAGCGGGAAACTCGCGTGTAAGGATCAGAGAGCCTGTTTAAGGATTTCTAGGGGAATGAATAAACTTTTAATGCGTTTCAGTTTTAAGTCCCTTAAGAGGACTTAAGGGAACATCCCTTAAGAGAAGTTCTATTTAACGACTTCGGAATACATTTCAATTAATACACTGTGCTGCTTCTCAGCTGTTATTATGGAAAGAATCAAGACCTCATTTTCATTTCCATCTCCCTTCATTAGCTGATTTTCCAAGGGTTAAAGCTTTTTCAAAAGAAATCTCTCTCTTGTGCTCTCTTCCTGCTTTTGGGACTTCATCACACATCAGTAACACGTCTCTAATTCTCTTCTAGTGACTAATTCTTAGCTTTCTCAGTCCCTTAAGGCCTCCTTATTTCTATTCTAAGTTGATTTGCATTGCTTAAGTATCAAATGATAAACCACGTTTGGGAAGTACAGATGTAATACATTAGGCCTGGATGGCTCCAGATAGTTTTAAAACACTCTAAATTCAAAGCCACAGGAAAGCCCTTTCAAGCCTGAGTAATTTTTCATGTTAATGTATTTTCCACAGAGGAAAAAATGGAGCCAGGAAACTCTAGCCTCTGATCAGCATCGGGGCCAAGGCTCCTTCCCTGAGTAGCTCACTCCTTCCAGGATTTATCACCTTCTTCCCTCTTATCGAATCACTGCTGCAGTGTCCCCGAGAATAACACGAGGCCAGCACGCACCAGCCATAGCTTGGAGAAAGCTATCTGGCAGGGCAAGGGCAATACTATATTCGGATGCATACTGTACTTCCCTGTAGGACTGTACTTTGAAATATGACTCTACTAGTGTCAGGCCTGGCCACGCCACACTGTTATAGCTCTGAAGAGAGGCTCAAATTTCTAACCTGATATACGCGACAAATCTCAGTTAGATCTCTAGGTATATATGACATCACAGATAATAGAATTAAAGTGTAAAATTGTATGAAATAGTACAGTTAAGTAACACATTGTGTCTACTTGTAATTTCAGCCTGGGTGATGGGAAGTCCACATTAAATGTCCTGGGAGTTGGCAGCGGCACAGGTAAGAGCGTGACAACACTGAGGTGGCTCCAGTTTAGCAGCAGGCACTGCTGAGGTTTTGAGCAATGGCGAGAACTATTTGGGTGTTAACAACCGAAATTCCTGCTGGAGCCGAGAAATGCCAAGCAGGGGTGCCGAGCCAGGGCGAGAGCGATGGTCCCTTCCCTGCCACACCCGCTTCTCCAGCGTGGGTCAGCGTGGGTCCAAGCGAGGTCAATCTGATGATCTTAGCTTAGGCTCTGTCTCTTGATGACTCTCACCTAACTTTATATGCCCAAAAGCAGGCGCCTGCGCCAGGGGAAGTAAGATTTGTTCCACCCAAAGGTCCTATCCTGGACTATCCCACCTGAAGGTACCTCTTGTTTTCATTGCCATCCTAGAGGCCAAGGCTGGGCTATGCTCTTGAGCTCCAGGCAAGCAAAATGTGGTGAGGAGGCCAGAAACACTCGCATGGGGCCTGGGCAGCTTTTGCAAGATGTGCTTCTTTTTAACTGCCTTTTTTTTTTTTTCTCCAGTGATCAGTGGGGTTTAATTGCAAATGATATTTTCCTCCAGAGAGAGACAATCTCTTGGAAGCAATGATTTTAAAGCTGCTTTCAATGCATTTGTTAAAAAAAAATGTAGTGAAACATCCAACTTTTCTCCTAGGACATTGGGAGGGAGAAAATAAAAAGCAGAAAAAAGAAGCAGTGGTTTGATTTGTCAGAGTAGGCTTTTGGTTTTAAAAGTATTTTCAACTGAATTATGAGTGTTAATATTTTCAAGTGAAAGTAATATGTTTCTCACTTGTTTCCTTGCTTTCCCAAGTAAAAGAAAAATAGCACTGAATTGTTTTCTCCAGCTGGGAATACATTGGAGCATCTGAGAAAAGGAGGAGGAAAAAAAAATCTTTCGGTTCTCAATTTATACTCCATTTGCATTAACTAATATAAACCAGAAATAAGTAATAAAAACCAGAAATTCTGTCTGATCTAAGAAAATAGAACTTTTTATGTCGTCCCCATTTTTTCTGGCATCCCCTTCAGAAAGGCTTTGGAGGAAAGGTAAAAAAGTTAAGCTTTCCCTTTCCCAGGTAGCTAGTCAGCCCCCACTGCCCCAGCGGTGCCCAAGATGGGAATAGCTGAACTTCTGCAGTCAGGGGCAGGAGTGAATTAGTTGGGTGTTGAGTGAAAAGTTATATATGATTCCTGACCTTTTCATGCTTGGAATCTGATTTCATAGAGCCCCACCCCAAAATGAGTTTAGTGAACTAAAATATCAATGGGGACTAGTGACCTGCCTCACATCCAGCTCACCTTTTCTCATTCGCCCGATGCTTTCCCGCAGTTGGCACAAGTTTCTCAGCTGCAAATTCATGTAAATACAGGGCTGCTATTTGCGGTGGAGTTTCACTCTTGTTTCCTGCGCGCCTTGATGTATCGGGTAGCGCTGATGGGTCACAGCTGGCTGCTCGCCGACATTTCTGAAGGGGTTTTGAAGCGTCAACAGCAGCCGGCTGCTGTGCTGCTGAGGAGCGGATGGGATTTCCCCAGGCACCCTGGCACCCTGTCTGCCAGCGTGCAGCGGGGTTGGGCCAGCGCAGCAGCCTGCTAGGATCACGGCCAGCCCCAGAGAGGGTCATGGGCAGGTCCTTTTTACTGTATCTCCTAGGCCTTTTTTTCTTTTGTGCCATGCTACCACTGCACCAGCAGCCCCCGGCCACCTGGCCCTGGCATGATCCTCAGCAGAGTGTTAGCAAAAGCACATGGTAAAATCCCATGTTTCAGAGCAGGAACTCATAGGCTCTCCTGGATGCAAAAGGAAGGTATTTTCTAGCTGGCCATCTCTCCCTGAACAATTCCCATGTCAGTCTGTCTGCTAGCCTTCAATTGAGGTTGCTGCAACCTCTTTCCTTGTGCCTTTCACCAGCCCGGGGCAGTTTGCCCCCTGCCCTGAGGCAGCTGCAATCCTGAATGGTCCTGTGTGTTTTTCTCCAATTTCAAAGCCCTGTCCGTCCTTGGACTTTGGTGGAGCGCTGCCCTAGCTGATATTTTCCTCCTTGAATCTATTTATTGCAACACTGGCCAACGAAGTCTACTTTTCTCATAGCTATTACGTCAGCTGAAAGGATATAGAAGCTTCAGTATCTCTAAGTGATATTTTCCAGGGCAGGACTATTTTTAGACCCCACCATAACTACTGGTTAGTAGATGCTGAGAGCTGAGACTATGATGTGGATCATAGCCCCAAGGAAGAAAGACCGCGTACCACGCAATGATTCCCACCCATCAAATCCCCAGACCTGGTTACAAACACCTTAGGGAGCCTCCAACTGTAGGATGAATAAAGTTCTTCCAATTTAATCAGAAGTAATGAGAAGACTAACGCTTTCTGGTTAAAACCAGATTAATCTTTGATTATTTGGATCTGTTTGCCTTACCACTCAAATGAGTATTGGCACTATGAGTTTTCCATGCTGTTGCTTATCTCCTCCTTGTTCTTAGTCTTATCTGTAAACATATTTTCCATGTTATGTTAGGCTGAGCAGCAAGATATGATGATAAGACTATTTCTGTCTTAGATGCCACCATACAAGTCTCAAGGTACAAAGGGTATCACTTCTGCTCTGAGGATCTCCTAGCAGCAGAAATGGAAGATGTGCTACCATGTGTGTCCTCCTAACTCCATTCCAGTAGTTTTTAAAGTAGTGAATTTATGTTTATTGAACAGGTGAACAGGATTTGAAAATGATCCGGATCCTGCAGGCTGAACACCCGGGGGTCTTCATTAACACAGAAATCATAGAGCCCAACCCACAGCACGTGGCAGTGTACAAAGGTGAGGCACCCTGGGGCACCCACGTGTGCCTGGAATACAGTGAGGACTGCCAATCTGAATGAAGAGGTTTTCTTGTTGGTTTGTGAAATTCCTGTTCTTCTTCTGCTTTTCAAACAGAGTTGGTTAATCAAGCTCCCGATCTCCAGAATGTCTCTTTTATTTGGCACCAGCTCACTTCCTCTGAGTACGAACAACAGGTGAAAGAGAAGAGCGCACATAAGAAGTTTGACTTCATCCATATGATTCAGGTAATGCAGGACTACCTTTAGCAACAGTAATATTTTACTAACATTAGTAATATGGCAGGATTAGCTTTAAACATTCCCTTTGTTTCTGCTACGTGCTTCAAGCTGGAGAGACCAGAGCTGCACGCAGCTCTGCAGTGAGTGGTTATTGCTCTCGCAGCTGTGCAAGCACCAAACTCAGTGGGGCTGAGGCCGGGCGGAGAGGTGAGTGTGGAAGTCATGGCTGTTTCCACAATGTGGCAGCGAGGCTGACCTTGCTGCAGCACCAGGGGAGCCCAGATCCGGCAGCCGGCCAGGAGCACAGATTGCCTGGTGACACCAGGCAGTCCTAGGCCACGCAGGGGCCGACAACCATCCTTTGCCTTTGCAAAAAACTCAGAGTTTTTGTTTTAATTGGACTAGTTTGGATAGCACTAATGGGAAAGGTTAGTGAAATTTGTATCCATTTTGGGGTCAGAAATTATGCTGCTGTGTCCCTGATGAAGCTAATGTTGTATGTGTCTGTTATGTTTTTTAAAAGTCTGTTATTCACTTCCTTAAGTGGCAATTATTTTATCTTGCTTTCATTTCATAAGAGCTGATTTTCAAAACTGGAAAATATTTAAGGGGTTTGGCCACTCGGTCAAGGACTAACTTGCAAGTCCCAAGGGCAGTCCCAAAGCCCTGCTTTGTCCCTGTGCGACTTCTCCAAGGTCTAGAAGTAATCTGACCTGTCCATGGCCCAGGCACAGCTTAGAAATGCTTGTGGTGATAAAGACCAGTTACAGAAATGAGGCAGAAACCAAAGGCGTCCCCTCTTATATGAACCCTCCTCATTCAGAGGCAGCAACTTGTGCCCTGCAGGCTGCAAAGACACATGCAGGGGGAAAACCAAAACTGCAGACTGTGTTTAGCTGGATTACAACTTAACTCTCTGGGAGCTCTCCAGAACTGGTTTTTAGTGCATCCTTGACTTTTAGCACTTCTGCCTTCCCTTGTGGTTGCGCACCTGGACCTTTGCTGGAGCCCTGCTTTTGTCCCTGTCTGCAAAGACAAAGGAGCAGGGAAAAATTATCTTCAGCAAGAGCCTATCATCAGGTCGTCACTGTACGCACACGAAAGAGCATCAAAGGGAAGCAGGCAGATGCCAGAGGACGCTCCTGTCTCCATGCTAAGCCAGAGCGGCCTCATCAAAGAGCCGGTGCCGAAGGTCTGGGTGATAAGCTCTTTGCCTGCCAGGGCCAGTGCTTAGCTCTGAACCTGCCCATCCAGACACCATTTCTCACGCTGTAGTTGCCTCTTAATGGAGAAATGGCTTAGCAGGACCGCTGGACTCACCTTCTCAAGCAGGGACCTCAGGGCTTCCCGTATATCTTGTAGGCATTTGGGTGCCATCAGTGTAAGAACAAATGGCAAATTACTGCTGCTTTCTGAAGAGATGCCGGGAGAATATGAACTTACAATTCATTAGGAACTCATTTTGATAATTCTCTTTGATACATCAGGGCAGTTACAAACCATCAGGCCTTTTCCACGCACCATGAATAAGGTTAGCAGGGAAGTCAGCAAAAATAGTGAAGATCTTGCCTTAAAAACACTGCTGAGTTGAAAGGATGTACGTGTCTTGTAACTGCAAAGTTTGCTGGACTGAGAGGGTAGCAATCAATAGCTCAACATCCAGCTTGGGGCTGATGATTAGCAGAGTAGTCCAGAGGCTGACACTGGGATCCATGTCATTGGGTGCCCTCCATCGGCAGGGTGACACAGCAGATGGGCAGGTGATGCTGGAGCTGAGGGTCTCGCTGAGACCTGACAGTGCTCAATCCAGGGGGACCTCTCAACCCGTGCACTAAGCCAACAAGAACCTCCCAAGGTTTGATATGGAAAAGTGAAGAGTTTGTCTTCCTGTGGGTGGAATAAGCCCATGCCTCAGGACTGACCGGGAAGTGGCTCCTGGGTAGCAGCTCTGCTGTAAAGGACCCAGTGGGTATGGTGGACACTATGCTAGACATGCCTCCTCCCCACCCCCCGCTGCCTGTTTATCAACACTTAGATGTTGATACAGCATCTCTGTGTATACAGAAAGTGTCTTTTCCAGACAGAAGAAAGATACTTCACTGAGTTCAACTGCAGCTTTCTGTTGCTGGTCGTCAGTTTGATAACACCTTCTCTTAGTCTTTCACTTTTCTTCTCCGAGTTCTTTGGTTTCTCCATATGAGTTAAGGCTTTGTTAATATGAGTTAATCTTTTTGTTTGGGTTAGGGGAAGTATTTTAAAACAACACAGATAGGTAGAGAAAGAAGGCCTTTGAAGGCCTGTCGCTGTCTAGAGGTGGAATAATGGCTACATGTAACCCTGTCGCTTCCAGATGCTGTACCGTGTGGAAAATATTCCTAGTACAATCAAGTTTTTCCACAGTTGCCTAGACCATCATGGTAAACTCCTGATCATAATTTTATCAGGTAAGATTTTTGCTTCATTGCTGTTTTTTTTTTTAAAGGGTTTTCAAGGATAAGAACCGCAAATATTTTGTCTTGGAATTTAAGTAGCACTTATTCTATAGTAATCAAACAAAATACACACTGTATTTTGTAGGGAACATGCAATCTTGTGCTTAATCTCTTGGATACCAGTGTCTGATGGGACTACGTATGCATAACCTGTGTGTTCTTGCTTTCCTGGATATGACGTGGTCGTATTGCCACTTACCTCACAGTGGCCTCCTATTGTGAAATTAATGGCTAGAAAGAAGTGTGATTATTAATGAGTGAGGCTTAATCCTGCTCTTTTTGAAGACAACAAAGATTTTATCACTGACTTCAATGGCAGCAGGAGTCAGCCACTGCTGGGCCCCTGCAGCAAGCAGCAGGACCCCAGGACAACCGAGCAGTTGTCACTTGAATTGCTGTTACGTTTCAGTGTCTACTGGGGCACTCTCCTGCTTGCCTCTGCGCGTGCTCCTGTTAGATGCCAAAAAAGAGAGTCGGTACGTGTTCATGGTGATGTAAGCAATGTCCAAAGACAAGCTGAGTGCCGTGACAGCCTGTATTGGTGCGTCTTCCCTTCCGAGCAGCCACATTTAAATAGCTGGGAGAAGTCTGGGAGGAGTGTTGAGAGACATCCCAATTTTATTCCTGTCCAGGCAGTGCCGTGTACAAGTGGATCTAAGTGAGGGGAAAGCTCTTCTCCTACTCCTGGCAAGGTCTGTGCCAGTGGAGCATTTGCAGGAGCATTTCAAACTAATGCAGTACTTGCATTAGCTGGTATTTGATTGGCTTGGCTTTGCAAAACTAACCTTTCCTCGTGCCATGTCTGACAGATGGTAGTGGATGGGCCACCTTGTGGAAGAAGTACAGACACTGCTTGCCTTTAACGGACAGCGGCCACTACATTACCTCCAAGGACATCGAAGATATTTTGAAGAGAATTGGGGTTGAATACCAAGTTTATGAGTTCTCGTCTGGCTGGGACATCACAGAGTGCTTTATTGAGGGGGATCCGGTTGGAGGCCTCATGATGGATTTCCTAACAGGGACAAAAAACTTCTTGGGCACTGCACCCCTGGACCTGAAGAAGGGTCTCCAAGAGGCCCTCTGCCAGCCCGAATGCAGCAGCAGGAAGGACGGGAGGATCATCTTCAACAACAACCTGAGTATGATCGTAGTTGAGTCCTAATGCCTGGGCCAGCTGCAGAGGACACACAGGGGTGGGTGTAGGGTCAGTGCTCTGCCCTAGCGGGGAGTAGTGTAGAAAGGAAGCAACTCACAAAATTTGAGAAGGGGGGCAGCGAGAAAAATGGGTTCAGCTTTCAGCCTCCTACTCACAGCTGGGATTGACGCAACCAGGCTCAATGCTGTGGATGAGCTCTTTGCCCCAGTGAGGCCAATGGAGCCAAGACTTCACCCCAGATATTTAGTCTGGTCTCAGGAGATCGGCAAGGTCTGGGCTAGCCTTGAGCGTTTCCTGCAGGAGCCCATGACATGAGCTTGCACCACCCAACTGTGTATCATAGGCAAACACTACATACTGACTGGGGAAGTCTTGGTCCACCACATGGCTGTCCAGGGAGTAGTGTAGCTTCTCAGAAAAAAGAGTTACGCTTAACTAAAAGCCTACAGGGAGATCTTTTTAATGGTATAGGTACTGTTGGTGGTTTTGACACTGGGATTTCCAATTCTCTCTCTGTATACAGCATGTTTACATTTCCAAAGGCATGTCTCTATGGCTTGGTGCCTACGGTCGCTTTGCAGCTAGTCCTGGGGGAGGCAGAAAGGCCTGGGAGGGGGCTGCAGACCCCCCCCTTCTGTCTGCAGAATTAGGAGGCTCCAGGGCGATGCTTACCCTGTGCTCTTTCAGGCAGGTATTAATTTTGTTACTTTCTTACTACTGGTTTTCTCCATATAAAATAAAAGCTTGTGAAAAGGTTATTTATTTAAAAATAGAGAAATGCAAAATATCCTTTTATGGAAATACTAGGAATTTATTTTAAGTGAGAAAGACAAGGTTTTGGCCTCGGAAGAACTAGAATTAACTGAAAATTTAATACAGAACATGGCTAATGAGAATGGATATCCTAAAGGAACCAGCCTGTGCTACAATGGTTTTCACCTGCTCATCTAGGAAGGAGGTTGCAGTCAACACTAAGACCAAACATTTCAGGCTGAATTTTTTAATAACTGCACATCAAGCTTGCTAATTTACAAGCAAGCAGACCAGCCTTAACCTTTAAAGCAACACACGTTACTACCCAGTGCCAGCTGGAGGGCACAAAAGGGATTTTTTTTTTTTCCCCTCTGCTGCTTGATCACTGGCTGGTTCAGCCACACGGCGCTTGGCTGAGGTTCCTCTTTCCAAATTAGGGTAAAATGCTAACAAGTTCGGGCCCTGCGACCCGCTCTGTATTAACCTGCTTATGCAGCTCAGCAGCAGCAGTGTGGCTATTTGCCGGGGAAAAAAGATGCTACTGCTACCTGCAGGCAGTGCCATGCTGCTACGGCCGTCCGTCTGTCCGCAATTCCTGCCCCACTCGAGGGGATGAGGTGCCGGAGCAGCCTTGTGCACCCTTAAACCTTAAATTTGTTCCAGCATCATGAACTCACCACGTTTTCTTTCAAAAAATGGAATGTCACCATTGCTTGAAGTCCAGGCGGTCCTGTTAAAACCAGCCCTCTCCACGTCCGTCCGTCTGTCTGTGTGAAGTTATTGCTGGAGGGTGAAATGATGTCACCCAAAAAGGTAATAGCAGCTCACAGAGTTGTGGTGGCTCAACCCTGGGCTTTGGGTTTGGGGTTTGTTTTTTTTTTTTTCATCTTGCATCCTTTTGAAATGCAGCCTTATTTCCTGCAGAACTTTCCCTGAAACTGTAGCATTAAGAAAGGGGAAAGCAGAGGGAAAACTGTAGCGTAGCATCTTTTCTCTGGAAGGACTGCAGCAGCCTCACCTGCAAGTACTATTGGTTTGGCTTTTTCTTTGCTACCAATCTAAGAAACATAAATCAAAACTTGACAACCTTTTTCAGAGCACCCTATAACTATACACAATCCATATTATTTGTTATTCTATGCACTTACTCCCAGCCCTAGGAAGGGAATATAAGGCTGGGCTAGAGGAAGGTCTCTCATTGCTACTCCCATGGAGCCCTCTTCTGCCATGAATAATTCCCATGATTTATTTCAATACATTAGTGATCTCTCGATCTTGCTCTCTCTCTATCCCCCTTTCTCTTGTAGATTGAAAGGAAACCCAAAATATATCAAACATCAGGCTCAGTTTTCAAGCTCCAAAGGACCTCACAATAATGTTCCACCTGTTAGTCTTTACAGACGCTGGGTACAGTCCAAGTTCCCTAACATCTCCTCCAACCAAAACAGCCAGCAGGTTTTCACCCCCACTTCGGAGTTTCCTGGCCGGAGAGACACGCTTCCAGGAAGCAGCTATTTAACAGAATTAGCGATCACATAATTTACCCACGCCGCTGCAAATCAATGCATGTGCGCTCAAAGGAAAAGGAGCACTTCAAAGCAGCCAACCCAGTGAGTGACACTTGACATCCTGGTCAGTGGCAACCGAGGGAGATGAAACAGTGCACCCCATTAAAAAACCCAGTGTTTAATGCTTGAGCTGTAATTTTATTTTCGATTCTCGGAAAGCAGGTCATTTAACAGAGACTGTATGTGCACACCTGGAAGAAATGGTATTCTAAGTGTTACTTTGTCCATTATATTTATTTATACATTTATTCTTGCATTAGTATGTTATTTATTAACTCTCGGATGTGCTTTTTTTAAAACACGCTGTCGTCCCCCACAGAATTCGGGTGCGGGCAGCGCGCCTCCTCTGCCGCCGGGTCCGGCGTGCGGGAGCGCAGTCGGGTTTGGGCGGCCACGAGAGGGCTGCAGCGGCCAGCAGATCCCATCTGCCTCTGCAAACACTCGGAGGCTGAGCAGAAGGAAAACAGGCACGTAGCCGGGCAGGCTTACGCCGTGCTGCCTTTATTCAGCTGTCTGTGCTGGGTCATAGCAGCTTGATTTCAGCTGCTGGGAAGCCAGGCTTTCTTCCACCGTGGCGTTACCTCCTCGGCTCAGGCTGGTGCTGGGCTCCCGTGCGTAAAAAGTCACGACTGCACCACACGGATGCCAACAAGGGCCACCTATAATCCACTCCAGAGTGTTTCTTCTCTCAAAGGCTGAAGTGCTGCACTTCAGCTGCTCCTCAAATGCCCGTTTGCAGCCTGCTGACATGGAGCCGGGGCCGAGTGGGGCGAGGAAGGCGAGGAAGAGGAGGCTCAGGAGCATGGGGTGCTTTGGCTTCAGCGTTGAATTAGCCTTCCCGGTGTCAGGGCAGGATGAGACCTGTTGAGCTATGAGTTTCTTGGCTGTTTCTCACACTGCTGGTAGCAAGGAGCAGGTCCTTGGCGCCCGGAGGTGATCTCCAGGACCGTGTCCATTAGCGTGACAGCCTGTTCCCACACAGCCTGAAGTGAACACATTTGTGAATAACCATGTGGTAACCTCTCTTGTTTATGATGGAATAGAAATAATGCCTTGGAGGCTACAAAACCCAAACTGCAGTATTTTTAAATCAAATAGTTGCAGATTTTACCCTTATTTCAAGTTAGTAGTTCATCCCTTCCAATGGCATGGCGTTACTCTTGATTGAGTATTACAGCCCTCTTAAAGGACTTACAGAAAGCTGCTCTTTCTTTATCATATGGGGGAAGGATAGTTTGCTTTTTATTGGGCCGGTATTCAATCGACGGGGCTAAACGCTTTGCCACTACAATAAATGTTAGGCCTTCCCTGCCCGTGAACATTACCAGGGAGGAAGGTGGAGTAGGCACTGGAAAATGTCCTAGCTTATTTCTGAATAATCCCATGAAGTAACAAGCTCAGTAAAATACTGCAGTGTGTACTGAAAAGATTAAAGCTAACCTCAATCAGGGAGCAAAACATAAACATATAGACGCTGAACATTTTATTTTCTTAGATCTTTGCCTGCAGAAATCTGTCAAGGCTTGTATCCGGGATGTAGAAAAGCTTTGGATAAACGCATCAAATAAATGCATGGCGCTCAGGTGAAATCTTCAAAGGTCATGAGCCATATAGGAGCCCTATTAAGTAGTGTTCTTTAAAACACTAAGCTTTGCCTGCAGTCTTTGGATTTGTGGTGCTAGCTCTGGAGGCCTGTTGGGTGATAAAGCCCTGCAGAGCTGTCTCTCCCACTCACTCTGGTAAAGAAATGTCAGGCAGGAGCTAGATGTGGCAGCACAGTTCCCACAGGCTTATACTTAGGAAATCCCAGAGGATTTCCCAGGAAAATTAAGGGCGTGCTTATGCCCCCCGAATAGCCTTCCAGCTGCCTTGAAACTATCTGTGTGTTAGAATTTCTTCCTCAGAAATACTAAGTTGGGAGAGGCCTTGCTGGGTGCAAACTTGCATTTCCTGTGGGACTAATCTTTCTCAGGGGTCCTTGTGGTGGCAAGCATGGGAGTAACGGTGAGCGTGACATGTAGTGTCTTTTGATGGAGTTGGTCTGACGACCCAAAACATGAACCTTGACCATGCGCTTTGCATCCAGCAGAGTTGTCAGTGAAGACCAGCTCCCTGAAGCTGCCAGTTGTACCTCTGTGTGTTGGCAGTAGGGTCACACTGACCTTCCTGAAGCTTGTAAAGACCTTCATAGGAAGAGTAACCTTCTGTCTCTGGTTGTAACTCGAAAAAGGTAGTTATCGTCCTTCTTTTTAAATAACAGGGTTTTTTTTTTTAAGATTATTTGTCTGATCCTGCAGACTGAGAACAACCTTATTGGAGGCTAGAACTACTTTTATCATTAGCCATCCCTCCTTGCAGTTACTCAAGCATTGACAGCTACCTACTAAAATCTCACAAGGTTGTAAGAGTTCTTGTTAGGTCTCCAAAGATATCTGTGGACCATGGCTTGTTCACTCTGCCCTGTGGCCAAGCTGGCTGGAGACAAGCAAGTAAAAGCCTGGAAATCACACTCTTTTGGTATGACGCCAGTGGGGTGGAACTGATAAATGTGCTGGCAGGAGAGCAAGCACCCTAGAGGTCCGGACAGGTGAAAAACGGTGACTCCCTCTGCTTCTAGCTCGTCTGCCAGCCGCTCTGATTCTTCTGGGAAGTGCCTAAAAGTCACACGCCTCCTCCCTCTGCTATTACGGCTCAACGCAAGCAAATGTCTTTCCTTCTTCTGCCACCAATATTAAGTACTTTCCTGTCACTTAAAAAGCTCTTATCACTGCAAATAATCCTTGCAATACGTTCAATAATAATAATGATAATAATAAAAATAAACTCACAGCTCAGCCTACTAATATGAATGCGTTCGTATACTCAGCCTGGTCTGGGACTTGGGGTTACAGCCGAGGCACTCAGAAGAGAGATCCTGAATTATTTAAGGCCACTGGTTTTAGCTAAGGCAGCAGCTGCTGTAAGATGCAGGAAATGTATTGTTCAGCCCCTGGTCTCCTTTAATTTCTTGTTTGAGCAGCAGCAAAAAAATCCCTCTAAGAAAAATGTTTGAAGAGTACAAGCTATGGCTGGAAAGCTTTCGGTTGTGAAGAGTGTTTGTAGAAAATGTAAGATGGTTGGATCCCAGTGGAGCGTTTTGCTACTCTATGGGAAGGAGCAGGAAAAAGCATAGCCGTAGCTTCATTTCCACTCGTCGGTTCCCGATAGTCTGATGACACCGTCACTTAGACCTGCTAGCAAGTTTGGAGAGAAAACGTATGTTTTGTCATACGTTGTAA